CCCCCCCCCCCCCTGCTCCCTCCTACCTGCATGCCGGCTTACCCTTCTGCTGACAAATCGGTGGAGATCAGCAACAGTGAGTCTCACAGGCAGCTGGCAGTTGCCACACAGCCCCGCCAGATCAAAGACCTCGCCCATCTCCTTCCAGCTGCCCTCCTCGACGATGCACACGGCCACCAGCAGGTCAGGCAGATTCATCTCCTGGTCATCCACTGCCAGCAGCTGCATCGGCGGCTGTCTGTTGGCCGCCCGTCGCAGCCCCGCCTGTGTCCTGAGCGAGTGGGCGAGCCGCTGCCGCAGCTGAAGCGCTCTGAAGAAGTCCGTGAGCCACCTTGCCGTGGCCCTCAGCCGCACGATGTCTGTGATGCTGAAGAGGTAGAAGGTGCGCCGGCCGACAAAGATGTGTGTAAAGGGATGCTGCTGCTGCGAGTGCTGCATCACGCTCCGGAGGCGATGAATCAATGAGAGAAGAAGATGGAGGGAAAGGGCGGTGGGGTGAACGAGATTGGCACTCTCGGAAAGAGAGCCGAGAAAGGCCCAAGCTCGCACATATTCCGTGAAACCGGTCTCTCTGAGATCTGTCCCATTTGTGTGAACATTCCAGATGATTAAGTCGCCTTAAGGAAGGAACACACGATGGTGCCAAGTAGTGGTGTGAGGAGAGTGGTGCATCTCTTTCCTCTGCACTGCCTCATCAGTTGGGTTTGAGTGGCGCCATGGCAGCTTCAGCATCGTCTGCTTTGCCTCACGGCGAGGTCAGTCAAGGCAAATCACACACACACACACACACACACACTCATCAATGTGTCAGAACATCACTGACTCATTCGTTCCTTCGTTTGATTGTTCGGTTCGTCAGGCAATGGCATCCCCTGCGCCGTGCCGTTACAAAGAGGGCAGTCGTGTGCTAATGGTGACCAACGGGCGGCAGAAGGGCAAGCAGAGGTGGGTCAAGGCCGACGTGTATCGCATCGAGGAGGGCAGAGGAGGGACGGCGCTTCACTTGAGGGAGGTGGGCGGCTCGGAGGAGTTCAAAGTGCTGGTGCCGCACAACGAGACCACGCCGCTGACAGACACGCACCAAATGGCACAAGTGGTAGGCAAACACACCTCAACCAAAAGCGCCGTGGACCACTGTTTGACGCTTGGTGCTTTGGTGTGTGGTATGTGTGCAGGTGTGGGATGTTACCAAGAAGGTACACACAGCCACACACGACACACGAACGATGTCAGCCACTCTCATGCCGCCTCTCTGTGTCCCTTTGTCGCTTCTCTCTAGACTCCTGCTGGTTTTGGCGACGACCTTGTGGCGTCGCTCTTCAGCTTCATGACCCCTCGCGAGCTGTCGGCTGTGCCAACCCTCTGCAAGCAGTGGCCGCAAGTCCGCAAGGCAGCCCTTCACCAGCAGACACACATCGCCATCGACTCTTCTACCGAGGACGACCGCCATTTCTGGGACAACACGACGCCTGAGGAGGCCTTCGACCTCGGCAAGCGGCTCGTCAATCTGACGGCCCTCACCCTCGTGCAGCCACACAGCGGCCGGTGGTGGTGTCTGGACAGTATGATAAGCGTCGTGGAGGGCCATGCGGCCGGGCGGCGGGAGGCACGCGAGAAGGAGGGGCAGCAGCACATGGCGGAGGGCAGTCTGGAGACCATCCACTTCACCACCACCACCAGCACCAGCCCCAGCAGCACCGGCAATGTGAACCAGCACCGTCCCCCGATCCCCCCTTCATTCGCCCCACCCCCGACCCTCCATGCCCTCAAGGCCGTCACAGGAGCCGTCCAGCAGCACAGTGTGCTGGCCAACACCCGCTGGAAGATGCCCGCACTCGAGTATGTGGATCTGTGTGGGTGGGATGCCATCACGCTGGGCCAGTTCATCAGCTCGTCCTTATCGCTGAGAGAGGTTGGGGGGCGTCTCTTGCCAGGGCAGTGGGCGGCTGTGTTTGAGCGGATACCCATGGCACCTCCTGGCCGGCCAGGGGCGCTCAGGCAGCTAAAGCGCATCGGAGTGATTGAGCGTGAGCGTTATCGGGACCCTTTAGAGCAGTACCTGACAGGAGTCACGCGGCTCCAGGTAGGCAATTTATCCCACAGGGGAGGCCTTATCCGCACGTGCCCACACACACGAGCAACGTCCTTCTCTCTGTCTGTAGGATGTGCTGTCATCGCGTGGCTGCCGCAAGTCGCTGACGAGGCTCGACGTGGAGAGTCCATCATTCGCAAACCACCACAGCCTCTCTGCCCTGCTGGCTGTCGATGACTTCATCAACACCTGCTGCACCTCGCCGGACGTTCCGCTTAACGTGGAGGGCAATGGGTTTCGGGGCCACTTCGACCTGTCCCTTTTCTACGCCGACGCATTCCCCCGTCGCCCCTCCCTCTTCATCAAGACGGCCATCCAGGAGGCGGCACGGCAGACGGACAAGTTGACCTACACCATCAGCCAGCATGACCTCACCCACCCCCTCAACGACCCCAGCCAGGCGGCCGTCGAGATAGCAAAGACCCTCTCATTCGACAAGGTGGAAGGTGTGGCGGTTCACAATGCCCCTGGCTTCGTCCCCCCTCCCGGCAGCCCCTCACCCGCCCCCGCCATCATCAACCACCTGCAGCAGCTCCCTAGGGCGAGAGCTCTGTATATCTGGAGCGCTGTCGGCGGCGCTACGGGTCGGTTGCTGGCAGAGAAGATGCCCAGGGAGGTGGAGAGCGTGGAGTTTGGCAGAAACGTGAGCGTGGAGGACAGGAGCGATGCGCTGGAGGCGCTGGGGGCGGAGAGGGAGGTGGGCACTGTCGATGTGGGTCGATGCGGTGAGGGTGCGGTCAGTCTTACGCAGGGCGGCGCCTTTGACGGGTGGGGGTCTGAGGGCTTCCCAGCGATTGATGTCATACTGATGGAGTTTGAAGGTATGCCGGGAGGGCAGTGAGTGCAGGAAGGTGCTCGTAGGTTCACCTTGTCTGTGTCCATCCGCCTTGTCTGTCTTTCACTCAGTTCCCGATGACTTGGAGGATGCTGTCGCTGTCATTAGCAGCGGCCTGACGTCTCTGTTAACGGCTGGCGTGCGCGGCCTGAGGCGTGCTGTGGTGTGGCTGGCAGGGCCTGGCGACCGTGTCGATGCCATTCGTGAGCTCCTCCCCAACGGTGTGGCGGTCGGCGACTTCGACATCATCACAGTGAATGGATGGTCGGCCTGGCGCATCGGGATAAGGGCGACTCGCCGCTATTAGATAATCTGAGGGTCAGCAGGTCAGGCGGAGCGATCGATGTCTGGCCTTCATGTGTGCGTGTGGGTGTGGGTGTGTGTGTTGTGTGGTCAGGCTGTCTGTGTGTCACATGAGCCACACAGGCCAGGCCAGACATTCGTTTCTGCGGCCCACTCAGAGTTTGTCCCTGCTGCTGCTGCACGACCTCTTGGCTACCTGTGCCCCCATGTCAGTTGGTGGTGCTTTGCCCTGTGTCTTGCCTGTGTGTGGGGGGGAATGAAGCATAGAGCCTACGGGCAGGCGGAGACTCCGTCGGTGCGTTGTGCGTGCCTGGGTGCGACCTTTATTTTGTTGGATCGAACTCATACTCATCATTGAGTGCTTCATGCTACCGTAATCGCTTCATTCAAAGTCCGTCAGCCGCCTCTACCACAGCCACCATGCCAGCCGTCCATCCACACACATCCACCCAGGCGTGCAGCCACTCCACCCACTGCGATTGTGATCCATTGCATAGCATCCATCCCACATTCGCACACGCAAAACACGGACGTCGACAAGCATGAATGTCCGCAGAGGGCCGGCCACTCTACCGCTCACAAAACAGCAGCGGGGCATCGTGTGGACGACGCGTGTCATGCGTCTGTCCTCACGCAACAGAAGCAGAAGAAGAGACCATCTCCAGGTGGACGGTTGGCTTTGCTCTGTGATGACATACCACCACATGGCAACGCAACCCTTCTCGCCTCTCCATCCTCGGGCGTTCGTCTCACCGACACCAATGAGAGTCAGCGCGTTGGCTGCAGGCCTCCTCTCATCGACGCAGGAGTGGCGAAGGGGCCAGAATGGGATAGGCAGAGAAAGGCGACATCCCTCTCGCAACTGCCATCCATCCATCCATCCATATGGCCGCCGCCATCAGTAGTTTGCTTGCATGATGCAGCAGAAAAAGGCTACCTAAGGCAGCACGCAGCCCGAAAGACAGACGAGGAGAGGAGAGGAGAGGAGAGAAATGTACACCAGTCCAATCCGTCAGTCAGTCAGTCCGTCAGTCAGCTAAGGATGTCCCCACCCTTAATTCAATCACATCAATGCAACCATGTGTGTGTGGAGGCACGTGTGTGTATGTGTGGCTTCAGCAAAGGGCAAGTCAGTGCGAGCAAGCTAAGCTACGTCAGGAGGCGTAAAAAATGCCATGGATCCATCCTCCTTATCCTCCCTCCCTCTCAGAGCCTAGCCTGCCCACCAATGTGTGTATGGGTGAGTGAGTGAGTGAGTGTGTTCATTCCTCGGGCGTGGGCTCGCCAGATTCCTCCTCCTCCTCCTCCCCTACGCTCTCCTGCAGCTCCCCCTCCCCCTCTCCGTCTGGCGGGCTCGGCTGCCCACTCGGCTCGCCGCTCTGCTCTCCGCTCTGCTCGCCCTCGCCACCACTGTTGCCGCTATACTCACCGGACCCCTCCTCCATCGACTCGCCGCCCTCGCCCTCTCCGTCCCCCTGTTCTCCTTCTTCCTCGTACTGCTGCTGCTGCTGCTGGTATTGCTGGTATTGGTAAGGGTCTTGCTGCTGGTATGGGTGCTGCTGGTAGGGGTACTGCTGCGTGGCGTGGGCGTGTGCCGCCGGCATGGGGTCCGGGTGCAGCTGGGCCGGGTGGTCTGCCGCAGAAGGGTCGATGGCAAAGCCACCAAAGGCCTGACGCACGGCCTCGCTGCCCGAGGGCGGGGGCGGGGAGTCGTCGTAGCCCTCCTGCTCGCCTCCATACTGCTGGTCCTGCTGCTGTGTGCCCTCCTCAACCGAATCTCCACCACTATGGTCCATCTCGCCGCTACTCGCGCCCTCATCCCCATGGCCGTTGACACTGCCCCCTCCGCTCTCGCCGCCTCCACCAGCACCCTGGTCGCCCCCACCCCGAGCCGTCTGCATGGCGTCTGGGGGGGAGATTGGGTAGCTCTCCTCGCCCTCCACGTCTGTCGGGGGTCGGGGCGCGCCGCCCTCCTTGGCGGTGCCGGCGAGGGTGGCCGTCACCTTCACCTGGTAGGCGACTGCTGCCGCTGCTGCTGCATTGCTAGTCTGCTGGTATGGCTGTCCCCACTGGTGCTGCTGCTGGTCCTCACCCTCGCCCTCGGGGAATCCGATGCCGGCAGCGCCCGTCTGCTCCAGGTCGCCCCACACGTCGGGCGCCGCCTCGTCGTCGTAGTCCAGGCGGAGGCGGGCCTGCTCGGCCGTCGTCGTATGGTGGGCGCGGTCATATGACGATGGGATCTCGGCCGTGAGGTTGATCACACTGGGGTCGTCAGCCGGGGCCGACGGCTCACCAGGCTGGGGCAGATCCGCAGCACCAGCACCAACGTCACGCGCTGAAGGACCAAAGGGATTGCCACAGGCACACAACGGAAATTGGAATGATAACGAGAAAGAGACGAAGCCCCATCTTGCGGTTTTCTCACTTCTGGCCTTTTTCTGGCTCCGCTGCTCGTTGGAGAGGCGCGCCATGCGCTCGCCGCCCGCAGCCGGCGCGACGATGGGGCTCTTGTCAGGACCGCCAGCACCGTCAGCAGGGCTACCTCCCACCGCGATACCCACACCCACACCTATGGCCGCCCCCACTGCAGCATCCTCCATGACTACATCCACGTGATTGGCCGGCAGCGACGCCAGCGCCCCCACCGACGCACCCACGTCTGTGTGGAAGGTCGAAGCCGTGCCGTAGCGGCGGCTCGGCTCGCGCTTGCGCTTGCCCGCCTGGCCGGCCTCGGCCGACTCCTCAACCAACTCGAGCTCGTTCTCACGCTCAGCCACTGCCTCTTCCTCGTCTACTACGTTGCCGGGCTTCTGAGAAGGAACACATGGATGGCTGGATGGATGGTCTTATGTGCACATGCGTCTTCTTTGTGTGGGTATCTCTCTGCGCACCAGTGGGATCATATTTGTGTTTGCTGCGATTCGTTTGGCATGCTGTCGAGAGCCCCGCCTGGCGCAGCCGAGCATGGAGGTCAGGATCCCGAACGGTGACGTAGATGCGGCGGCTGCCGGTGTCTCCGTGTGAGTGGGGGCGGGAGCGGGAGGGGGGGCGGGGTGGTCTGTCTGCTGGGCACTGGCAGATGTGGCCGCTGCAGCTGCGGCCGAGGTCGAAGTTGAGGTGGGGATCTCGGGTGCGTCGGGCGGGAAGATGCCAATGCCCTGCAGACACACAAGGAAAGATAAGATTCTCTGTGTGTGTGTGAGAGGGGGGAGGGAGGGTATGCGTGTTGTTGCACGTGTGTTGGTTGGGGTGGGTTACCACGGGTGCGTTGCTGAGTGAGGGTGTGATGTTGTTGGGGATCTTGGGGAACGCCCAGTCGATCAACGCTGTCATCTGATCAGACCAACCAGCCACCACACACCAGACCAGACCGCATTACACGCATCCACACGCGTGTTCGTGTGGTGTGTGTGCTTGTGTGGTCGTTGGTGTTGCTTACCTCTGGGCTCGGATGCGTGAGGTCCATGATGGTCTGAATCTGCCACGCCGTCAACCCGCTGATGCCCAGCTCAGCCGAACTGTGGCCCTCCTTCATCAACCTTCACACACACACACACAGACACACACACACGCACAGATGGATGGATGGTCCTGGCCCCTCCCTCCCTCCCTCCCTCCCTCTGTGTGTGTGTGTACTTGTCTATGTGTGAGCAGATGCTTTGGTTGATGCTGCGGAGTATTGTCTCGTTGGTCACGGGATCGCCCTCCTGCCCAAACGCCGAGTTGCTGTTGCTCCGGGACGGGACCAACGCGCCGGTCCTCGTCAGATCTATCACACGGCTGTCGGCCTGGAAATGGACATATTACACACCATACCACACACAGACAAACGGGCTTGTGTCGGTTCTCTTGTGTGTGTGTGTGTGTGTGTGTGTGGTGTGTGTGCTGACGTACCTGTAGTTTCTGTCGGATGGCTTTGACCGTCGCTTCATTGAACTCGGGGCTGAATCGGCGCAACGTGTTGGACTGGGGCGTCAGCACTGACACACACACACACACACACACACGCACACACAGATGGACACGCAATATTGGCTGGCTGGACGTACCAACGGTGTGGATGTTATGTCGGTCCAGCCACTCCTGCACCCACCCAACACGCACAGCCAGCGACAACCAACACAACGAACGCCACACGCACATGCGATGTGCGCGTCGCGTGTCAGGTGTGACACGTGCGGTGTGCACCGACCGGTGTGACGACCCAGGGTGCGTCTATGATCCGGTCAACATTTTTGAGGTACTGGAGAGTCGCCACCTTCTGCTCATGCGGCTGAATCGGCGTCATCTGATCGCACACACAACACACAACACACAACACACAACCACACACCACAGCCAACACGTCAATTGCACAACGATGTGACCCTGTGATGCCTTCCTTCCAGTGCCCCCCTGCGCGTGTGCGTTAGTGTGTGCATCTATCTCATCTCGTCTCACGTAGAAGGCCCCCGTTTCATCGTCGCCACACACGCCCACCACCAGGGAGGCATTGGGTAGCACCTCCTTGATGTGCTGAAACTCGTGGAAGTGCCCCGCGTGCAGGAACGGCCAGCTCCCTGACCACACCACAACACACCACACAAGAGACCAAAGAAAGACATGTGTCCCACCACCCCATCACATCACGCCCCTTCTGACAGGTCTGCCCTTCTCATTTCCACAGATCCACGCCCACACGGGCGACATGACGGCCGTGCAGTGGTCTTACCGTCGACATAGACGGTGAGAGGTTCGTTGGCGGCCGGTGTGTGTGTGCCCGCCGCCCCGCCGCCAATGGCATCGCCGCCGCCAGAGCCAGTGCTACCGGGCTGAATCAGATCAGTCGCGCCTCCCCGGCCTGCGTCTGCTGCCTTTCTGCCGAAAAGGCCACCGAAGGAGAGCCTCCTCATGGCTGGGGATGAGTCGAATCTATCAGCCCATGCCGGCAAGGGTCGCAACCTTCATGCGTGTGGGAAGGGATGGGAAGCGGTGGGACAGCGAGAAATGAGGATAGTGGTGGCTCTCCCGACACACCAAAGCAGCGAAAAAGAGATAGAAATGCTCTCGGACTTTGAGGAGGCGAAGGCGAGCTAATGGGGAGAGGGAAAACGTCTTTTTGCGGCGAGAAGGGGCCTGGGGAGTGGTAGACTGGACACACTGCTTTGCTGCAGCAGAAGTATCGGCGATATGTGCGTTTGCTGCCACGGATGACGAGCGCCCGTCACATCTCCCGCGGCTCCAGTCTAGAGGAGGGCCGTCCACTCACCGCCGACACCAGCAGCAGCACTGACCATACATCTTTGTCCCTAGGCATAGACGACAGCAGCAGCAAGCTCCACCGCCGCAACTGCATGGCCGGCATCTGCGCAGCCAAGTCCGGCAGGACGCGCAGCATCGTCGGCGTGAGCTGCATCGGCGTCCTCCTGTGTGTGGGCGCCTTCCTGGCATCCAGGGGCAGCAGCTTCCAGCCGGCCAATATGCGCCAGGACGGGCAGCAGGTCATCAGCATTGCCTCGTCCAGGCGAGTGGCTCAAGGGCAGCACCGGCTGACGGCCGACTCGGGCGACTCGTTCCTTCCGCCGCAGTCGTCGGCAGTCGAGCAGCCCAAGGACGAGGCAATAACTGACGAGCAAGAGGACGATGCAGACACAGACGCAGACGCCGACACGTCAGCTGATCAACCACCCGCTGGATCAGCCCCTGATGACGCGACAAAATCTGACCAGAGTGCCGCCTCCAAGACTGAGGAAACGGCGAGCAGCAGCGGGGAAGTGGCTGTGGTGCAGGAGGGGGCGGCTGTGGTGGAGCGAGATGACGCCGCCAAGGACACCGTTGCCCAGGCATCATCATCAGCAGCAGCAGCCCCAGCCCCAGCCGTCAAGGAGGAGCCCCCCAAGTCGTCCCCCCATCTAGAGGTGCTCGACGGCAGCATCGAGGTCGTGTGGGAGGCGCCACCAGGCGGCCCCTCTCGCGGCGTCGTCTTCCTCGCCCACGGATGCCACCACTCGGCCACTGATTTCTGGCCTAAGTCGCCCGGCTGCGAGAGGTGCCTGGGTCTGCCGGAGGAGCGGCAGATGGTGAGGGAGATGCTGAGCGAGGGCTATGGAGTGGTGGCCATCAGCAGCGCCAACCGGCAGAGGATGTGCTGGCACTTCGAGCAGGACGGCAAGAGAGTCCTGAAGGCGCTGGAGATACTCAGGTCAGGGCGTCTCCCAGTGTGTGTGTGTGTTGGGGCCATTGTGCTATGCCGTCCACCTCATCTCTCTCTCTCTCTCTCTCTGTGAGTGTGTGTGTTGCAGGCACCGCGAAGGGTGGGAGTCCCTCCCCCTGTTTGCAGTGGGGGCGTCGTCGGGCGGGGGTCTGATCGGTTCGCTCATCGGTTCGAAGGAGCTGGTGGATCGGGGTCTCAAGTTTGACGCCGTGGCGGTGCAGATCATGGCCATCGTGCTGCACGACGAGATGCTCGACAAATACCCGCCGGTGCTATTCATCTCTATGAGCAAAGACAAGGCCACCACACGTACGCGCGCTACACATGAGGGCACCAACAGCGGTGGCTGGATGGATGGATTGCGTGTGTGTGTGTGTGTGCGTCAGGTGTGGTTCGCGGCAACATTGAGGGTCTCCGTGAGCGTCAGCGGCCCGCCCTTCTGCTCTCCGTCAAGCCCCACCCCATCACGCCCAAGTTCTTCTCCGATCGCATCCCAGAGGTGGGAGGGAAGTGGCTGCGCTGCTCTCTCTGCACCATCTCCCCATGTGTGAATTCACTTGTGTGCTGTGCTGTGCGCGCCCGCAGATAGACGAGGAGCTGTCAGGGAAGCTGCACAAGGCGCTGCGGGACAAGCAACTGATAGACGAGGACGGATTCCTGAAGGAAAACCCGCGAGACAGCCAGTAAGATCAAGACGGCAAACACAGCCACAGCACACAGACACGGACCTCTTTGCGCTGCCCTGCCCTGTCGCTCACAATGGATGTGTGTGTGTGTGTGTGTGTGTCAGTCGGTGCCCATGGCGAGAGCTCTTCGACCTCACCGTTACGGAAATAAAGGACCGGGGGATCTCACTCACCGTACGCACACGCCATCCCCACCCCCCACTCCCTGCTGGTGTGACTTGTCTGTTGTCATCGCGTCTGTGTGTGTGTGTGTGTGTGTGTGTGCGTATGTGTGTGTCCAGGCTGACGAGTCGGCCATCTCCGAGGAGCTCAACATCGCGTGGGCCAGCCACGAGATCACCGCAGAGTTCACAAAGGAAACGCTAGACTGGTGGGTGGTCAGCCGAGCCAACAACGCCCCCGCACACCCACACCCAACTCCCCACCACTGCTGTCCCTTCGTCTGTCTGTCAGGTTCGCCTCCCGTGGCGACATGAGCAAGCTCAAGAAGCGCGACGACGGCACCGACCCCCCGTTGCTCACCTACATAGCGGACCACAACATCGACCCCACATCCATCGCGGGCACCAAGCCACAACAACCCGCCGCTGACGGCATCGCAGCCGTGCAGACAGACACAGACACAGGAAGGGATGGCGGTGAGCAGCAGCAGCAACCGGAGCAGCAGCAGCAGGATCAGCAGCAGCAACCGGAGCAGCAACAGCAGAAGGAACCAGAAGCAGCAGCAGCAGCAGCTGAGACGACTGCGAAAGACACAGACGCAGAGGCAGAGAAACAGGCGACGAGTGGCGAGGAGGCGTCATCGGCAGCAGCAGGAGCGGCAGCAGAGACCACGGCAGACGGAGAGGCCAACAACAACGCGCCACAACCACCTCCAGCCCCACAGCAGACACCGACAAACGTCACCGACAGCGTCACAGCATCAAACCAGCAGCAGCAGCAGCAGCCGGAGGTGAGTGGTGGTGGTGGTGAGGCGACAGCAGCAGAGAGCCAGGGTGCGGGAGAGAGTGCGGCATCATCCAGCAGCAGCGGAGGAGATGAGGATCTGAAGAAGGAGATCACATCCGAGAGCGACCAGGCGCCGGAGGGTGCGACGGGCAGCGAGGTGGTGGAGACGGTGGGCGAGGGGGCGGTCCCACAAGCACCACCAGCACCGGCAGCACCAGCAGCAGCCGGTGCAGAAGCAGGTGGCAATGGCAATGGCAACGGTAACGGCGAGGATGCAGATGCTGACACGATGGAGGACGGCAGGCGGTGACAGTCTGTCTGCAGATGGCCAAGTGCGTGGTAGCTACCTCTAGTCAGGGAGGGAGGGAGGGAAGGGCGGAGGGGTGGAAGAGATGCAGACCTGCACACCACACCCGGATGAGTGGGATGGGGTAGTTTTTGGAGGTGGTCTTTCCACGTTGCCTTGCCTTGCCTTGCCTTGCCCGTTTGTCGAGCTGTGAGTGTGCATATGCCTATTCATCCACGAATTGCCGTTTCGTATTTTCGATGGGGAGCATGTCTTATCTGGCCGACGGCGGCGACGACAAGTCCGTATTCGTCCCACAGAATACCGATGTCGCGTGGTCGTCTGTGGGATGAGGCATGATCCCACATCCGACACGAACGATTCAACGAACCAACACAACTCGTTGGCCAGCTCTTGATTCATGGACGTGGCCTTTCTTCTGCGGTGCGTGCATATCGGTGGTAGAAGTGCTATCTGGTGCCCTCCTCGCTGCTCGATCGACATGATGAGGCACGTCCTGGCTCACCGTGTGACGATTCGCGACGAGGTCGCAACATGGCCTTCTAGACTCATGTGCGCAGATGCGGATGGGCTCGGCTGGTGCACGCGTGTGTGGTTTGGGTGCTAGGGTGGCCATGACGGATCTGATGCTTCCGTGGCTCCCGCTGATGTGAGCCAACCGTTGCGTATTGCCGCCGTCTCCTTGTGTGTCCCCGTGTGTGTGTGTGTGTGTGGATGCTGTAAATAGTGACTGGCTCGTCTGGTGGATGGCGTCAATTGGGATGGATCTGCCAGTACGTCGCTTGTGATCACGTCGATAACTCTTCCGAAGCCGACTTACGGCCAACTAGCAGCCCACACATAACACAAACACGAAACACCAGCACACAATACAACCATGGAGACAGCTTCGATCAACGCACGGGTGGTCGGGGGGCACCAGCACCGAACAGCGGATAGGCCTGTCGACACCCACACCCACAGAAAGAGAGAGGGACTTGTGTGTGCGGCATGAGAGACATGAACGAATCGATGGGCATGTTCAGTCATTGACTTGACTGACCTGGTGATGCATGAAGGTGGGCGTGTAGATGGGCACCGCCATGGGGGTCGGCGTGGGACAGATCACTGTCCTGGTCACAGCCAGCGCGGGGCTGCCAGCTCTAGCTGGGGCAGGGTACCTGCACGCACAAAGACATCCCATACAGACAAAGGTGACACCTCCTGTTGGTGCTGATTGCCAGCTGATGCGTTACACACATGTTCACAGGCACTGGCCCGTGTTGGGGGGGAAGCCGTCTAATGTGGCCGGATGCGCCTGTCGGTGGCACAGCGGGTCGAACACCTGCACCAAGCCTCACCTGCACGCACACAGAGAGACACAATGGGTCACTGACATGAGCATCTTGTGGCCGCCCCGCGTCTCTCACCACTGGTTTTGGATTCGTCATTTTGGGACTGCCATGGCTTTTGGGCACAAACGGCCGGCTGAGTGTGCCGGGGGGAGAAAAGGCCTGACGAATCGTGCCGACTCGCAGCGGCTGCACACACAACACAACAAATTGGTGGATCAGCTCATCCTCCATCAAAACCATGCCATGTTGGCTCTTACCGCTGCTTTGGGCTGCCGCAGCGGCACTTCGGCGGTGGTTCGACGTCCTTGGGCGCCCGCCATCTCCTCCTCATCGACCGTCAGCTGGCGAATGGCTGGGACCATGGCCTCCACGCCGCCGCCAAGATCATCTTGCTCAGCACTGTCCAGCACATCTGTTGTGGTTGTTGTGGTCTCCCGCTGCGAGGAGCGGTTGGGGAGCCGGGCGCTGGGCAGCACACTGCTGACTTCCCGGTTGACAACTCTCTGTTGTGTATGCAGAGGCACACGTAAAGGCGTGATGCGTCTGTGGGATGTGTCTCACCTGCTGAATGGGATTGTTCCACATGTGGTGGTCGATGCTTGGTGGGGCGGGTGGCGCCTGCTTGGCAGCGATCGGTCCGAAAATAGGGGTTCGAGGCGACTTGAAGTTAGTGGCCGACGGTGCGGCAGTGCTTGCAGCAACAAAGCCATATCCTTGTGTGGCGTTGCTATACGGGCTCTGCTGTGGAGACACGCACACCCAAAGGGGAGGGAACATGACTCTGGCTGACATCCCTTCTTCCATCTTTCTGTGCATCCATCTCTTTGCCTCACCTGGCGGTGGTCGTTTGGTATTCTTGGCACTCCACAGCTTTTGGCAGGAAGGAACTCGGAAGTGATCTTCGGTCTCACTGCAACGACAGGGCCCTTCGCAAGAGTCATTGGCGAATCAGGCAGATCAATCGCACTCTGATACAGGCAGACAAGCAGGTAACAGAACTGACATTCACATGACTCCCATGTCTACTCCGTCTTCTTACCTGAGTGAAATTGATAGCAGTGGTGATGTTGGTCTGCGGGCAGCTCTGCACTCCAGCGGGGCTGACATTCCAGCTTTTCCCCTTCCCGGCCCCCCTCTTGACTCTCACGGCCCCCCCAATGATGTCAGTAGTGCTGTCCTCCTCCACACCCTCAACGTCAATCGCATCCCTTGTCCCCGCTCGTCGCTTGTGCAGAGATGCGTTGCGCTTGGCACGCTCACGGGCCTTCTCCACTGGAGAGGGCGGCTCGATCACAATGCGGCGGGGCTCACCAATACCATCAATCGACAGCGGGCTGGCCAACCAGGCGCGGAGAGGGGAGTCGCATGTCGACGGTCTCTCGATCTTGCTGTTGGCCACCGAATCGTCAAAGAAGAAGCCACGCCCCTCCTTCCGGCAGCTGCGGCGCGGTCTCTCCTCTGGCTTTCCTGTCTTTTCCTCCTCTTTGGTCTCCATTCCGCCGGCCTCCTTTTGTTCAGCGGGCTCTTGGTCAGCCGCCGTGATAGCCGGCCCGGGTTGTTGGGCGGCTTCTGTCAGCCCTTGTTCTGTTCCCTCGTGTCTCCCCTCCGCTGTCATCTTCTCCTTCTCCTCCGCGTTCTTCTCGACCTCGACATCCGCCTCTTTCTGTTCCACGGGCTGTTCCTCTTGTCCAGCCAGCACCAACAGATGGCCTGCCGGCTCTTGCTCTGCATCGCTTCCTTGGCGCTGGACGATTTGTGCCGGCTGATGGTCTGGCAACGGCTGGATCTCCTGGCGCTGTGTCTCCAAGTTGGCCTGCTCCTGCCCCCCTCCTACGTCCGCCTCCTCTGTGTCTCGGCCACTGTCGTCCTTTTTCTCTGGCCACAGGATCTGCCACTCGCCCGGCCCAGCTCCCGACGTACGTGCCGCCCGACTCGGCAACGCGCTGCCGTATTTTGCTGAGGCCGTCTTGGCTACTCCGGCTCCCTGCTGTGCCGATGTCTTCTCGGCGCCCCGGAAGGGCGCCTTCTGGTGGGCTTTGTCCTCCTTGCTTGTAAGCACTGGGATACCCCACTTTGGGGCCGTCTGAGGCCCCTGGACGCCGACACGACTGCAGCGGAGACGAGATGTCGGGTTTGGCGATGTGCTGCTGGTGCGCCCGACAATTCTCACGGTCGCCGCTGCTGGTGTTGGCGCCACTTTTGGAGGGCACGGTGGCGTTTTCTTGTCCAGTGGTCGAATAAGTTCCGCCTGCTTCGGCACAGGGGAGGGGTTGACCGAGTGGCTGTTTTGTTTGGGCGCGGGGGGGACCGTGGTAGTGCCTCTTGTCCTTGGGGCCGTCTTCGCCTGGAAGTCCTGCTGCAGGACACCCGACGCATTTGGCTGCGTGGTGTCTCCCCCCATTCCCCTTATGCCGCCAGTTGTACGACCATTTGTCGTCCCTCTGTGGCCAGGTGCTGCAGCAGCCTCGGTGGACTGACGAGCTTGGCGGCGATCGGGAGCCTCGTCTCTCCGACGTGCGGTATCCTTTGTGCCACTCGGCGAACTCCCCCGCTGGCGGAATGTGGCTCCGGTCGTCTGCATTGTCCGCTCTCTCTCCTTGCGATTCCACTCCTTCACCCTCTGCTCTGCTAGGCCCCTGGGCGAGTCGATGTCCGCTATAGCCCAGTCATCCCCCTTGCGGAAGCGAGTCTTGGGGACGTACGGTTTCGGCGGCGGCGGGAGGGTGGGGCGGGGAGGAAACAGGTCACTGGGGTCGACAAATGGCATCGTTGGAAAGTGGAGCGCCTTTTGCAGGCGGTGGAAGAGACGGAGATACTTGAGGCTTTCGGACTCAGAGAGCGCGGGACTGACATACTTGATGTGGTACAGCAAAGCGATGTTCAGCCTGACCAAAGCGGACGTAGTAAAAGTGAGACAAAAAAAAGAATGGTCTTGTGGATGCCTTTCCCTGTCTCACGTTTCAGGCTGCTCAAATATCTGCCGCAGGCAGGCCGTGAGAGCCGTCTTGTCCCACGGTGCCGTCTCAGGCAGGGCTGGCTCCAGCACTTGACCAAACGTCCATGGCACGTCCCATGCCCTCACCATCTGCGGGGCGGGCTGGGCTCTCCTCACCACCTTTGATCGCCAATCTCGCGGCAACGGGCTGGGCTGAAGGATGATATGACGTGAGTTGGGCCGGCTCTTGGGCACAAACGGCTTCTTCCGCTCCTGGTGCGTCTCGTGGTCAGCCTCTTCCTCGTCGGCACCCTCGAGTTCCTCCCGCAGTCGCTGCTGCTTGTCATCATTGAACTTCCGCACACACAGACTGACAGCGACACAGCCAAGGAAGCGGACACACATGACCAGAAAGGAGGCGAGACATATGGTGGGCTCATCTGCTGACCTCAGTGTCTCACGAGACTCCTCAATCGTCTTTGACACGTCCTTCGCGTATACCTTATAGCGCCCTGTGCCAGTGGGCTCCACCCGCTCTGGTACGACAGCCGTCGCCATGTCCACGAACGACACCACGCTCGATCGGCCGCTATCATGATCCGAGAATTCGATCTGCATACACACAGACAAATGCAGCAATAGAGACATGGATCTGGCGGACAGGGTCGAACTCAGCCCACGATGAAGATGGTGTGACCGCGAGAGGCAGTTGGATTGCTCAGAAGATGGGCAGAGTGCCTGGATCACACCACACCCACAGCACAGACGATCGGCATCGCATTAATGTGTGAGGACTCTGCTTTCCGGCTCTCTGAGTTTGCGCACCTTCTCTCACAACCCTCGCCAAACAGACTGAGGGCCTCCAACAAAGTGCTACACCGAAACTTGCTCGTGGTGCCTGGCGCTGACCCGGTGGCGCCCTGCCCGCCTCGTCGCCTGCGATCATCCCGCTGCACATACACCAAGCAGAAACGTGCATAAGCGCGCTGAGCCCGTTTCCGTCTGCTTGTCTCGGCGTGTTTGTGTACATTGTTCGTATTGGTGTCGAGGAGGAGGTCGTGGATGCGGTTTCGGTATATCTCCACAAAGGAGATGGAGATCACTGTGGACGACTCGTGAACCAGTTGAAAGGCTCTCGCCAGCGATTCGTGTACAATGCCACCTTGTCCCTTCCTTGAGTTCCCTGCAGAAGAGAGGAGACACAGACCAGTGGCGACGTGACCGGTCTGATGGCAAGTGCGTGTCATCTCCATATACCCAATTGGGTGAAGGTCTTTCCGCTTCCCGTTCCTCCAGTGGACAGAACAATACCACTCTCCCCTCGCAGGACAGCCCCCCGGACAAGCGGCTCCGCTATCTGGTTGAAGATGCGGTCATGCCGCGCTTCCGTGTCTGGAACAGCAAGCACAGAAACACCCATCGGTCCTGTGTGATCCGCCTCGATCGCGTCTCTCCTGTGTGTGTGGCCATTTAGCCACCTGGGGGCACGAGAGTCTCGAACGCCCAGGGCGAATACTCGTAGTGCCCCTCTAGGAGTCGGCCGGGCGGCTTCGGTGCAGGCGGCGGACCGGTGGGGGGAGGGGGGCGATAGGCCATCCGGGCGGGGCCTTTCTTCTGCTGCTGGGGGTGGTGGTGCCGCACATCTTCGCGGAAACAGATGGCGGGCGGCTGCTCCCTCACAGCAAACGAGTTGCTGAAGTGGTCTGCAGGAGCACAGGCAGGAGAGAAGGGGTGCCAGGAAGCGCACATTGAGTGTAGAATCCTTGACGCACTTTTCGTGTCGGGCAGGACGCTGCAGGGGTGAATGGCGCATGCTGTGAGGCGCAGGGGCGCCTCAATAGGCTCACTTGAGCCTGTCAGCTTCATCTTCGTAGGGGGGCGTCCTTGCTCAGTCTCGGCCCCCAACCGCATGCCTTGCCGCTTGCTGATTCATCCTTGTTCCCTCCAATCCGTCGTGTTCACCACAGGCCGTGCACTCATGAGTGGCATCACATAATGACATGTTCACTACAGGTCACCACATAACCGGGAGACACGTGTCAGAATCAGACAGGAGTCAGACGACTGAACATGCAGGCTCACTCAGTTACATGCAAGGCTGTCTGAGTAAGACACGGCTTGCTAAGAGAGACACGGCTTGTCGGCATATAAAATGCAGGCAGCGATGTTTGAAAATGCGGCCCCTTTCGGCAGCAAATCGTGGACTAGCTCAAACGCTTTCGCCAGCGATCTCTGTAGTAGAGAGGACAGCACTGCTCTCTGCGCAGTGCAATGCCCGTAGAAGAAGCGGTGCCGCTACTCGCTCGGAGACATGCTCCCCCCGCGCTTGGTTGTCTGCAACAGCAACCATAAAACACGCATCGGTCCTGACAGGGATCCACGTACCGGACTGTGTAGTCGTCTTCCCTGAACCCATTCTGCACGCCGAAGCGCCCGAAAGAGAAAAGGTGCGGCCAGTCGCTCGAAGGTCTCATCAACCCGCCTTTCCGTCTCTGCAAAAGCAAATACAGAATCACCCATCGGTCCCCGGAATCGTTCCGTTTCGATTCCGTCATCTCCGCATACCGAATTGGGTGAATGTATTGCCTGATCCCATTCCTCCGACCGAGATGACAACGCCACTCTCTCCACCCTGTAACGCCCTTGGGATGAGCGGTGCGGCCATCCGCTCGACGTGTCAACCCGCCCTTTCGTCTTGGAACACCACACTCAAAACGCCCGTCGGTCCTGTGTGTTCCATCTCGATTGCGTCTCTTCCCCGTGTGGAGCCACCTGGCGCAAAAAGCGCGTCGAAAGCCCACGAGAAATACTCGTAATAGCCTGCCAGGAGCCGGGTGGGTGGCTTCGGTGCAGATGGCTCGGCGGTGGGGGGAGGCGGCGGTTTGTAGGCCATCCGGGCAGGTCCAGCTCGCTGCTGCTGTCGCTGGTGGTGACGCACATCTCTACGAAAGCAGATGGCTGGCGGCCCGTCTGCCACTGCAACCGAGATGCACAAATGGTTTGCAGGAACACAGCAACGAGAGAAGGGTGCCAGGAAGCGAACATTGAGCATAGAATTTTTGACGCACCGTTTGGGTCGGACATTGCGATGGCCGGGTGGACCAGCCCTGCTGTGAGCTTCATCGGCTGGCCTTCATGCGGGAGGGTCTGTCAGTCACCCTTTGATGGTCTCTGGCAAGCCCGTCAGCTGCCGACACGAGCGGGCTGTGGGCAGAAAGTCACTGTGGTCGAGGGACAAGCATTGTGATCATTTGGGATGGAGAGAAGCGAAAAAGTCACTGAATAGCCGTCTCCAAATCTCGACGCGTTTACTCGTTTGCTCTACTTTGCTCTCGTTGTGCTCCACCGGCACAAGGCTTTCCTTTCTCAATGGGTCGCATCCAGACAGTGTTTCAGTGGTCCTCCGCTAATAACATAATCTGACAAAATGCGGCAGCCTCACCTACTGATGAGTCACGTGCTTCTGGTCTCTCTCAAAGAATACATTGAAGGTCGATCACTTATCCATGAATCTCACGTAATCTCACGCACAGGGCAGTGCACACCAGAGGGAGAAAAATGCACCAATGGCATGAAGTGGGAGAAATAGCCAATCCGTCCTTTCATTCGTATGCAATCCCTTCATGGACGCAGTCTCCATCTTGTTAGTCACCCGAACTTGGGTGACTGTTGGAAGAAGGCCTCCGCCTTCTCGACCATTGCCTACGTCAATACACACAGCAGCACACAGAGACACTGCCATGCCAATGGATGGGTGCATCCATCTCGCCTGGTCAGTTATCGACATACCTTAGAGCCACAGATGAACACCACTCTGTCGTGGAGCGTCTTGGGCTGCAGGTCCAGCAGTCTCGTGTGCCCATCAGACGCCTGCATTGCATTGCATTCATTGCACACACACATGCATCACGCGCACAGCAATTGTGTTGGCTTCCACTCACTGACCTTGCCGCCGGCCTGCTCGGTGATGTAGGCGATGGCAGCACACTGACCGACATAGATAGATACACACACGTCATGACGCAGCAAGCACACGGCCGGCAGTGAGTGGGTGCATTGATTGACCCACCTGGAAGACCATTGAGACCGATGGCTTTGGGTCTTTGAATGTCGGTGGGTAGAGAAAGATGCCGCCCTTCAACAGGTTCCGATGGATGTCGGCTATCAGCGAACCGATGTAGCGCAGCGAAAAGATGTTGTCCTACACGCACACACAGACAGGCAGACAGCGAATGAGCACGTGACCATGTCCGTCGCTGGGTGCTGGAGCAATCAGCCTTTGTGTCCTGGCTCACTTGGCAGTAGGTGATGTAGTCCTTGATGCCTTGAGGGAACTTGGCTCGCCTGCCGCCGTCGATTGAGTAGATCTTTCCGTCGGTGGGCATCTTCTGGTCGGGGTGGGACAGCAGGAAGGAGCCCAGGGAAGTGTCCAGGGTAAAGCCATGCAGACCGCTGCCACTCGAGTACATTAGCAGCACAGATGAACCAAACAACACATACCTAAGAAGGAGCCATCCACACACACAGACAAACAGACAGACAGACAGAAAGACGGCGCACAGAAGTATATTCTCACATCGTCCCGGAATCACTCCACTCACCCGGCAGCGATGATGTTCTTGCCAGGCTGCAGGAAGTCACGCAACTCGACTGGCCCGCCGATGGGCGACACTCTGACAAACAAACAGACGTACCCGTCGTTTTTACCCAGCGCACATTGCTGTCCGTCTGTCACACACACACAGACCTTCTGTAGATGGCGAACACAGTACCGACGGACACATTGGTCTCCACGTTGTTGAACTCACTGCCTGCAGTCCAAGTATGTCCACACACCAACACACGCCCAACACACAGATGGGCCCGTGCATGTGTGCCTGTGTATCTGTCTGTGTGTCTGCATTGTCACCTGATGATCCATCCAGGGGGTGGATGTTGACGACAAACTGCCGGTTGCGTGCCTCGCCTCCAAAATCCAGAAAGCCGTCCATGCCCGCCGTCGCCACACCGGCCACAGTCTCTCTGCACACAGAAAGCACAGCACCGAAGGCGAGATGAAGCAAACCGATAGCAGTCATCATCCAGCCCTGCCCTGCCATGCCCCTGGCTGCCTGTGTACGCACCTGTTCCTGAATCCCTCGATGAATTTGTTTTGTGCGAGTTGCTCGAGATCTGTCATGGCCTCGATCTCGGAGATGGAGAAGGATGCATAGCGGCTGATCTCCAGCGACACCACCTTGGAGGCCAGCTTGATGGTCGTCAGGATCTTGTTGATCTCGTTCACAGAGCCCGGCGGGATGTCGCTCTGATGGGCTATCACGAACTCGCCCAACTCGGGGATGTAGGACGACTCTCTTTCCATCAATATCACCATTGCTGCCGGACTGAGAGAGCTGCCTCAAGCTGCAGCCGAGATCTCCTTCCAAGTTCACCTCTGCGGTAGCAGCGGTTTCAGGGAGCACCCTAGGCTTTCTGTTGCGATCCGCCTTACCTTCCGTTTCTCCGTAAGATCTGCCGCCTGTGGTGCCCTCTGCATGGGCAACACCACCAGCACGCGAAAGCGTTCCGTGATTCATCGATTTCTGTGACCGCATGCAAGTGTCCTCGTCGACGAGCAGCGAGGACGCAGGAGGCAGCATGAGCGGCGGCGTGATGAATATCAACGTGGGCGGCTTTACCATGGCCTTCCCGAGTGGCGTGCTGCTGCGCGAGGGGCTGCGTGGCACGTGTGTGGCGGTGCTGCTGCACCGGTTCGACGACTGGATGCTCCAAGATGCCGACGGTATTCTGTTCATCGACGCAGACCCTCTATACTTCCTCTGGTGAGGGACTATGGGAGCATGCAGTCAATGACACTCACTCATTGACTCACTGCTGGCTGCATGTCCATCTGTGTGTGTGTTGGTTGTGTGTGTGTCAGGTTGTGTGAGAAGCTCTACCGTTTGAAGCATGGCTGGGTCGACGAGATCAAGATCTTCGACGCCGTGCAGCCCATCCCCTTCTACCACGACATATTCTTCGCCGAGTCGCCCATCGCCATCGACAAACCGACTGAGGACAGCGAGAGCCAACCGGCATTCCGCAGCTTCATTGACAAGATGGGCGTCTTCATCAAGTCGTTGGCCGTTCGGGGCGGCAGGGGAGGGGCGGAGGTGCTCACTGTGACTGTGGACGGCCGCACAGTGGCGACCACCGATGCCACGCTGGCCGACTTCGACACACTCAACGACCGATTCACCAAGTGAGAAGACAGGCAAGCACAAACGGGGAAATCGGGACGCTGTAATCATTGGATGTCCTTCTTCTCTGTGTCACGTGTGCAGGTATGGCGCCACTCCCATTGTCGATGTGTCTGCGCACCACGTCGACCTGTGAGCGCCCAGACAACCACCACAGGCAGCAACAGAGCGCATCTATTCGTCTGTTGGTTTGTTCAGGATCGTCGACTTCGCTCGTCGGTGTCGCCTCTCCCCCGAAGGCGCCGTCGTCCCGCCGCCCACGTGTGCCAACCAGGATGAGCTGGTGCGTGTGAGTGAGATGTACGGCGTCCTCGAGGCCATGTACCCCAACATCCTCGCCAACGACGTCATGCAGACCCTCCTCATCATGATCGGCAAGAAACAACCCAACACAACCTGCCTCTACAAGTGAGAACAGACAAACGAAGGGCATCGCGCCATTCTCTATGCATCTGTGTGTCGTGTCCGTGTGCGTCAGGAGTTCGCTGCACGGTTCGTCGTATGCGAGTCTGGCGCAGCGTGTGGTGGGGCGCCGCGGCCTCCTCTTCGTCATCAAGTGCGACGACACCAACACCATCGCAGCCTTCGCCGACACCAAACTGCACCTGCTAGCCGACCCAGCATCTCAGCTGCGCTTCCGGTGCCCCGTGTCGCTGTTTTCGGTATGTGGTGCGTTCGAGGAGGGCATCACCAAGATCGACCTGCCACAGGACCAGCAGGCCGTGTGGGTGGCGGGCACACAGGGGGGGGTGACGGACGAGGAGGGTAAGCCCTGGGGCAAGGTGTGCATCGCTGGCGGCCGCCTGTGGTTGGGGGATGGCGAGTACGGCCCGACTGACGACCTTCTCAACTGCCGTCAGTGGGTGGAGAAGAAGGAGCTGGAAATTTGTGGGCAAGACCATCACCAGCAAGGAGGCGAGCCTCTGTGGCGTCAAGACCTACAACTTCTCCGCTCAGAGTGTGGAGGTCTTCCAGGTCAGTCAGCCAGGCATTAGCCAGAGGGCACACAAGCGGCTGTGGACATCATGAGATCTTTGTCCTCTCTCTCTGAGCAGGTGTGGAGTTCTGTGCCGGCCGACCCCATCCTGTCTGAGGATGACCTGCCTGCGAGCACTCGTCGACGCGACGGGCATGGTGGATGCGACCCCACAACTACTCTACAAGTAAGCCGCCGATGACAGGAAGGCTGCTGGTGATTCGTGGATGATATCCTTCGCTCCTTTGCTGCCCTGGTGTGTCTGTGTCTGTCAGGGGTGAGCGTGACGGCTGGGAGCATGAGGCCATGTTCAAGAATGTGGGCGACGCCACCAACCTCCTGCTGCTCCTCAAAGACCCCAGTGGCCCCATCATCGCCGCCCACATCGAGGGCGGACTCACCCTGCCAGCTGACCCCACTGCAGTGGCGACGATCCCCTGTGCTGTGTCGCTGTTTTCGGTGTGCGGCGCGTTTGAGGGCGATGGCATCACCAAGATCGACCTGCCACAGGACGAGCAGCGTGTGGCGGTGGCGGGCACACAGGGGGCGGTGACGGGCTCCGGCGGTAAGCCACGCGGCAAGGTGTGCATCGCCAATGGCCGCCTGTGGCTGGGGATCGGCAATTGCCGCCCGGCAGGTGACCTTCGCAGCTGCCATGTGTGGGTGATGAAGGATGAGCTGCCGGCAGCCAAGAAGTACATCGGGACCATCAACAACAAGGGCACAGCCAGGCTGGCCTCCAGCCTCTACTTCACACTCGCCGATTTGAAGATCTACGCACTGCAGGTCAGGGGAAGAGAAGGAAGACATACACACACCATGAACGGTGCGTCCACCTTCCCCTCTCTCTCTCTCTGTGTGTGTTCAGCCGTCTGCTGGGTGGCAGTGGGTGAGTGCCGTCGCCTAGGTGATGATGAACTCACGACCGACGTGATGGCTGTTGAGGGAGGCAGACAGGCAGGCAAACACGTGGGTGTGTGAGAGCGAGGGTGTCTGCGCTGCATTGACATGTCGCATGGCCGAGTGCTCCATCGCCGCCGGCGCATCCATTCATCTAATGTATGTGTGTGTGTGGAAGGCGGCGACTCGTTTTTGGCTGTCGGTGTGCACACAGTCTCTATCAGACCACTGGGGGTGGCGGGTGCATTTAAGCCATCGCAGAGGACTCTCTCTATCAATGTGTCGGTGGTCATGTCTATAGCCAGCAGAATGCATTGGTTCATCGACGGACTCCGTGCGTGTGGTGTGTTCCATGGCATGCGTCCATGTGTGCGATGCCGTCTGTGCAGACAATACCGAGACACTCACATGTCGACATCTTCGTTTGACGCACATGGTCCGTCACACACGCAGCGGCATGCCACGTCATGCCAACCCACCCACCCAGCCACCTGGTGGAAACAGACCACACGGAGAGCTCTAGAGCCGGGCAGACCACACACAGACAGACAGACAGACAGACAGACAGAGTGCGCTTAGTCGCCACATGAACGCATCACCATCCAGTCCAAGTCAGTCCATGTGTGGGCATGGAAGGGGGCTGCTGGCGTGCGCACAGTGTCTGTTTTGGCCACATGGGGGTGGCGGGGCGGGTGCCTTTGAGCCATCGATCGCGGAGTGTCCCATCTATCGATGTGTAGGTATTCATTCATGTCTGTAGCCAGTCTGTGGAACCCCTTCCTTTATCGACGGACTTGTGTGCGTGGTGTGTTGCATAGAATGCATCCGATGTGTGCGATGCTGTGCAGACTGTGCCGAGACACTCTCTCTCATCTCGATGTATTCAATCGATTGATCCACAAGAAGTCACACGAACCAACAAGGAACACATCAGAAATGCACACGCCCCTAAGCCCCGCCCTCTCTACTCAAGGAGATCATCCAGATAAGTAATGCGACCACCCCCTGCAATGTCTGTCTGTCTGTCTGTCTGTCTGCACAAATGCAGCCCGAAACACACACGCCATACGTGGCCCGGGTACACCCACCATCTCATGAACAAATAGAGACTTAAACCAGCACTCCCTTGTCTCACCACTAGCTATACGGATCCACCCACTCA